CTTTGTTTTTTTCCGTTTGTGCTGGTATAAACACTTCTCACATTTAACAGCTCTCGTCGAAGTTGCGCTTCTTTTAAACGCTGTGTATTCTTGGACGAATTATTCACACCTAAAATGCATCAAATATAGTTGTAACGTTTCATGCCAGTTGTCCAGTTCTCTTTAAAATGGCATTTTCAGTGAACTACGTTTTACACAGAAGAGACTTCTGATTCTTGGCATTACCATTTGACAGTTGTGCTGTTGTTGCTTTTGTTTAAATAAAGTACATGGCGAGCACTTTTGCCAATCACTAATGACTAAAATAAGGGCTTTCACATTTTAAATCCCCCACCCCGCCCCTCTCACCCAGCCCACACACACACACAGAAATGAGAAAACCTTGGATCACAAATAAATTATTGTGTTAATTTTTACATTAAAAGTTAAAAATAAAATTTGATCGCAAGGATTTTTTTTTTTAATCGATGGCCTTACGCCAATGTTTAAATGACTGAATAGTGAGTTTTCTAAATTTACAATCGCATACATTATTGTATAAATATGTTAGCTAGTTTATCATTGTCTATATTTATACCCACTAAGACTCTGTCTACATGTAAAGGCACGTGAATTGTTGTCGAAGTGTATCTTCACTAGATCATTGACTAAATTTCATTGAAAAATTGAAAAGAAACGAGAAATTGTTGAGCCAGTTCTTATGTACTCAGACGAGAGTAGACAATGAGCGAATTACTGAGACATGATGTGGCAACTGTGGGAAACGTACGAGCCAGTCCTCCCTGAGACAGGCGAAACCCGTAAACAGATTAGAGTTCTAAACGATCGTTGTTTGTCGGATATGTTGTGAGAAGGAAGGGACTATATAACTTGCTAACAGCTGACAAGATTAATGGTAAGAGAGCAAGAGGAAGACAAAGAGACCAGTTCCTGCACAGCGTTGTCATTGGGACTGAGCGAGACAAGAACACAGGGCTGATCTGTGATTGTGTTGATTGAATGAGATGGACGAAACCTGACAACCTATGCTTATCGATACAGTGCACGATGATGATGATGATGAATATTTGTGTTTGGTGAAGAATTATAAGAATGTGGTTTGACGTTATAAAACGCCTGATGGGGACTTCATGAAAAAAAGATTACGCTACACACTTGGGGAAAGGGGGATGGGAGGGGGAGAACAATTTAAAATGCGTTAACACGCCAAAGAGAAAATTGAGTACGTGGTGACAAATGGACAGTCGAAAAAGATGACAAAGAAGAAGGCGAAGGAAGAGGAGAATGATGAGGAAAAGAGGGTGGGAGGAGGAGGGGGAGAAGAAAATAAAGAAAGAAAGAATGAGAGCGAGCAAAAGAAGAAGAAAGAGGAGGAGGATGGGGAAAATGATATGATGATAAGGAGGAGGAGGAGGAGAAAAAGAATAACAGGAACAAGAATGGAAGCAATAAAAACCTAAAAGAGACGACGTTATGCAATTTGGCACAAAGAAATATCATCAACAATTGACAGAAAACAAACAAGAAACTGTGGCGAGACGATGGTGACCAACAGCTTGGAACATGCAAAAGAGGAAGGGGAAAATACCAGAACAATTCAAATCTGAGATTACGAAACTAACCGGTCTTGTCGGCTCAGTCTCAGTGTCATGAGTAATACAGCCACATACATTAATAGCTGACCTTTATAGAAACAAACGAAACAGATTTCTCTTGTTTTCACAGAGCACCTCAGTGATCTCCTACACCAATCAACATTAAAAGACAAATATACAATATTTCCTGTCAAACAAAAAGAAAACTGTGTTACTACAAAACCCAAACTAGTTATAACGAGTCAAATCTGTGTCGTTTTTACAGGGGGATAATACATCGTGATTTAACATTGCCAGGGAGGTTTCAGCTTGTGTTAAGATATTCAGAAAACAGTTTTCAGTTATTAAACCCTGTGATGAAGTTGTACATAGCACCATTTTTGCAGCACCGTAACCCCTCCCCCAGAAACTAGCAGACGTCGTTTTATAATGTTTTGACCTTGTGACCTTTTGACCTCAGTACTGATCTTTCTTAAATCTGCAATCACAAAACACCTGTATTTTTTTTTTTTCAAGCGCACTTCACTGCTTTTACTGTCTACTTAATTATTATGTTTTCACTCAGAAAATGACGTAACTTTTTTTTTAAGAACTGTCATTAAAAAAAATATATATAACAAATGAATAAGGTTGAAATTAAAATGTATTCAAAGGTCCACATTTCGTCCTGCAATAAATAAAAGTTGTATTCAAAAATTTTAGTACGATGATGTGTTTAATTTTTTTTTTCTAATTAATAAAACGACATGTAGATATTAAAGAACAAATTACAGATTTTGAATTCGAATTTTATTTGGGTATCGCTTTTTCTTCTTCTTTTTCTCATCATCCTCACTCCTCTCTTCTTCTTCTTCTTCTTCTTCTTCTTCTTCTTCTTCTTCTTCTTCTTCTTCTTCTTCTTCTTCTTCTTCTTCTTCTTCTTCTTCTTCTTCTTCTTTTTCCTCTTCTTCTTCTTCTTCTTCTTCTTCTTCTTCTTCTTCTTCTTCTTCTTCTTCTTCTTCTTCTTCTTCTTCTTCTTCTTCTTCATCTTCTTCTTCTTCTTCTTCTTATTCTTCTTCCTCCTCCTCGTCTTCTTCTTCTTTTTCTTCTTTTTCCTCCTCCTCCTCCTCTTCTTCTTCTTCTTCTTCTTCTTCTTCTTCTTCTTCTTCTTCTTCTTCTTCTTCTTCTTCTTCTTCTTCTTCTTCTTCTTCTTCTTCTTCTTCTTCTTCTTCTTCTTCTTCTTCTTCTTCTTCTTCTTCTTCTTCTTCTTCTTCTTCTTCTTCTTCTTCTTCTTCTTCTTCTTCTTCTTCTTCTTCTTCTTCTTCTTCTTCTTCTTCTTCTGCTTCTTCTTCTTCTTCTGCTTCTTTTTTTCTACGTTTTCTATAAAATGGTGGTTGGCACGTTGTGTTTGTATTACAGCTGAGCTACGATGTTTGTGCCTTTTGACCCAAAACATCCGATGTTAGCAAAAACTTAATCACTATTCCCGACAAGCTTGTTATGGGGCAGGAGATCTGTTTATCTGATCACCAAAATGTAGCCACAGAATCCAGATGGGATGAGAACCACTGAAGACTGTAGTGACCATTTAAATGCATTCGAAAACTAATGTCTGGCGATCTTGATGAACATTGAGCTTAGTTGGGTATCCTTTACAGGACGTTGCAGAACCAACCTCAGCAGCCCCTGACTGTTGTGTGGTTTCTCTAGGGACATTTACATCCAGTAGTTTGCCATTGCTTTCTAGACGGTCGGCCCCCTGATACTACTGTCGAAACCAACGCAAGGCACCCGAATCGACCCGGTCACCCCGGCATTACGAAGCGTTCGCATCGACTTGGTGATGAACATTATAGATATGACGATAAACTGAAAAAAAAAAAGACTTAAAAATAAAGGAAAGGACCCTTTTCCGCGCCTTTCAGGCGTATTTTGGTATAAAGGACTAGACCTATATTTTATAGACCAACGGCACTAGTTGGGTAATGTGGTCAGCATCCCACCGACCGCCTTTACTTTCCAGGAATGATCCTGGTACCCACTCAAGGCTTGGTCGACCTGGGAAACAAGGTCATTTTTGAGAACAGTCCAGCTCCACTAGAGAGCGAACCCACGACCTTCCGATCCTCAGGCGAGCGTTTAGCCGCTTCGCCATGGTGACTCCCGAAGAAAGTCCAAACAAATTATAAATTTCTGATCAACCACTGGTATTTAAAGTTATTGTAAAGATCATCCTAGAGGGAAAGGTTCAAGGTAGGAGAGCAAAAGGCAGACAGCGTTACGCGTGGGAGGATAACATCAAGAGATGGACGAACAGCAGTATGAGTGAATGTACATCAAGGGCAAGAGACAGGAATGTTGGAGATCCATTGCAGCCAACCTTCATTGTGGAGACAGCACCTGATTGACTGATTGATTGACAGTTACAAGAAACATAATATGGCTCTGTGTTCCGAGAACCAGACAGATAAAGAATAGCAGTACAGGCATTCAAACTGGAAACTAGTGGAATGATGAAGCCAGGGCGTCCAAAAGAAACCATGCAAAGAAAGACGAAGACAGAGATCAAAGGTGCGGAAATGAATTCCATGCACAATATCGAAATGACTGCATAGGATACAGCGGATTTGAGTACTCGACTTAGATCCTTAAGTGACTTACAGAACACACATAATGATGATGATAATAATGATGATGGCGATGATGAGATAATGATGATTGTGGTGAGAGATATTGATGATCAGGATGATGATGATGATGAGGATGGTGATGAGAGATAATGATGATCAGGATGATGATGATGATGATAGTGGTAAGAGATAACGATGATCAGGGTGATGGTGATGATAGTGGTAAGAGATAATGATGATCAGGATAATGATGATGAGGATGGTGGTGAGAGATAATAATGATGGTGGTGAGAGATAATAATGATGGTGGTGAGAGATAATAATGATGGTGGTGAGAGATAATAATAATGGTGGTGAGAGATAATGATGATGGTGGTGAGAGAAAATAATGATGGTGGTGAGAGATAATAATGATGGTGGTGAGAGATAATAATGATGGTGGTGAGAGATAATGATGATGGTGGTGAGAGATAAGGATGTTGAGGATGATGATGATGATAGGTAGGACCTGGTTCATGGCGACCTCAGAAACAGGAATCTGTGCGAGCTGATCTCTAGCAATAACTGTCGCACTGATATAACAGTAAAGGTCTATATACACGCCACTGGCACATTGAGCATGTGAGGCTATGCTAACATTGCTATGGATCTCGATGGGTGGTGCGGTCAACATCACGCCGGCCGCCTTTACTTCTCAGGACTTCACCCGGTACCCATTTAAGGCTGGACTGACAGCCAAGGACTTTGGGGAAAAAAACGAAATT